ATCTGCAGCCACCACTGCCTCTGCATAGGCACCTTGTAACAGAGAAGGTTATGCTGTCCTAAAAAGCACTCAGAGGCCCTTTCAGCTCAGGATATTCTGTGATTCTATGATCTCCAGCATAGAACTTAAGAACTGCTAAGTGAGAAAATGCCAAATATACAATTCTATTTAACATGGCATAGATGCATGCTGGAGTGGAACAGGAGTACTCTGATGGTCTGGTGTCCCATGAATTTGGCAGAATTAAAAACATTCATTAGTTTGAAATTCTGCCCCCCTTTAAAGTGGACCACTACAAACACTCTGCAATAAGAATACAATTGAAACCACTAACTTCTCCCAATTTCACTGCAGATGTAAAACATTATGTTTCTAGAGAAGCTTCGTACGTAGTCTGAGTGATTTACCTATTAGGCCTGACAGATTGCATAACTACTTAATTATGTCATCAGACAGGGTAAAGGAGAAAAGCACAAGGGTGTGGATGTCATCTGCACTGATGGATCAACAGTGTATGCTCCCTTCAGTGGCCAGCTCTCCGGACCCATTCGATTCTTTCATAACGGAAATGCCATTGATGATGGAGTCCAAATCTCTGGGTCAGGTAAGCAACAACAGCACATATGTCACAAGGCAGGCACAAGCAATCTTATTTACCTGAGTAAGATATTTCTGTGCCTCTTCAAGTCAAGCAGATTGCTGATTTAGTCTCTCTAGTTCTTATACTGAAGCACAACTACATTGCCGCTTAGAAATACCAAAAGCTCCAGAAGGATGCAGTCTTTTTCTTAGATAGAAAGGAAGAAGGGAGCTGAAAAACACATAGCAGAAAAACAACCCCAAGTCAAACAAAGGAAAAAGTAAAAACAAAGCATCCGAAGTCCTCAGTTTTGCTGAGAGGATATTTTCCAGTCCCTATTTTCCAACTTCCTCTTTTCTTTTTCTTCTTTTCTATAAGGATGTGAGTACTTTCAGGATTCTTGGTACCTTGACTCCATTTCTGCTTCACCACTGTAGCCCCCAGTAACAGCCCAGTGAGGAAGATTTCTTGCACTCTGCCTCAACAGATGCAGCTGGTGTTTGACCTTCCTCTCCCATCTTTTCCAGGTTACTGTGTAAAACTAGTCTGCATTCATCCCATCAGATACCACGGCCAAATCCAGAAAGGGCAACAACTTGGAAGAATGCTGCCAATGCAGAAAGTGTTTCCTGGCATTGTCTCTCACATTCACGTCGAGAACTGTGACCAATCTGATCCTACTCATCTCCTCAGACCTGGTAAAAACAAAACAAAACAAAACCAAGCAACAAACATTTGAGGTTTATCATGAATGAAAATGTTTAATTGCAAATTACAGTAATATCAAGCAATAGGAGTCTCCTCCATCATAGGGTCTCCTCAAGACATCTGTAAGAGAGAAGACATGCATTATAGCATAACAGCACCATAGAAAGGAAAGAACATGTTTTAGCTTACCATGCTTTATTTTTCACCCCTCAATGCCCTCCCATGGCACAGAAGCATCAAGTCCCAGCAAAGATAGTCAGATGTCCCTTTTGATCCTTCTAACTACTAGCAATGTTTCCAAAATTACATCTCAGCTAGATCAGACATAAAATTCACACTTGAAAACAATCATCCTAAAGATTTCAGTGATGACGTAGAAAGACTTAAGGACTTTGATCCCATTAGTGTTGGCATAGAATAAGAAAAATCCAAATCTTCTCCTACCCCTCAGTTTACACTCTGGTTTATAACTGTGATAATCCTGCTGTGTTGTTGTTTTTTGTTCCCCCTCATCCCCCCCCCCCCTTGGAAGCACGTTCTTTATATCAGCCAACCCTAATTACAAAGCATTAAGATGTAGTTTGAGGCATTTGTTCCACTTACAATTCCAAACAGGTGACAAATTTTGTGGAGGATCAAACATCAACTGAACACTGCATGATGCAATTCCAGCATGTTCCTTCCTAACTAAAATGAAAGTTGCAAATGTGAAATACATTAAATAAAAACAACACTACCTTTATTTCCTGTTTCTATATTTCATAGATGTTTTACCACCCCTCCCACCATTCCCACAACACGATACTCACTGGGCAACAATATGTTCTGGGAATCCTACGAACGAGATAAGAGGCTGCGATAAATACGGCTGTGGATATTTTGGAGCTCCGAGGTACTTTGAACACGCGGGGTTTTATCATTGCTTTGTTGGGATAGAGTTGAACCTTGTTTAAGCTCTGAAAGTTTAGGTTGAACATAAGGGAACGCTCACTGCAGACGTCGTGCAGCACAAGAATGGGTTGCCAACATTGTTCATGAAGCCTCCGTGCTTGGAGGTGTTGGGTTAGACAAAGCCGTGCCTGACCTGGTGTTGTGAACAACCCGAGCTGAAGGTAGGGCTAAACATCCTCCACAGGTACCTTCCAACCAGTACTTCTGTAGCTCTAGAGTTCTATTTCAAAACTAGGGAGAAATAAGCCTCCACCCACACAATTCCCAAAGCTGTAAACCTAACTGACTACATAACATTAGCTTAGCTACCGAAAGAGAATGTCTACAAATTCTTCAGCCATGGTCAATCATGGCAGCACCATCTCAGTACTACTAACCTGTTTTCAGAACTTGCTAAGCGACCTCTCTCTGCATAATGTTAGGTCTGGCAGAGACTTCTCTAAGTATGTATTTGTTTTCAGACGCAATGGCAAAGGAGAGAAGCACAAGGGTGTGGATGTCATCTGTGCTGATGGTGCAACAGTGTACGCTCCCTTTTCTGGTGAGCTGTCTGGACCCATTAAATTCTTTCATAATGGAAACGCCATTGATGATGGAGTCCAAATCAGGGGATCAGGTATATAGCTGTTTTCATTTATTTTATTTAACAGTTCATTTTGACTCAAGTTCATGTAGGATACGTTCCCTCACAGGTAGTTGAGTATACCAGCAAAGCACACATTTCCAGTTGCTGTACTGCCACATTCAGAAATTTCTGCTCCTTTCTTAGCATACAAATATAAGCATTCAGTCTTAAAGACAGTGAGGGAAGATCTTGCCTTTATGAACTACTATTTAGTTTTCTCTCTACAAAGAGGAAAAAAAAGCTAAAAAGTTTGATTGGGCTGCAAATTGCATGAGAAAAAAAATTAAAAACAGGGAGCTTGAGTTGTGAATATTGTCTTCTTGCTTCAGCAGAGAGGAGAGCTTGAATTCTCACCTGTCCCTTCACTTTCCCTTCCCTAATAAGCCAGCAACTCCAACCACTCTCTAAACTTCTTACAGTACTTTGGATATTATTGCATTTCCAAAATTGCTATCTCAGTGGAAAGGACAAGAGTTGTTCAAATAGAATTAATACAGGAGAACAAATGTACATCACCTGATTTTTTTCCTTCCTCTTCTTTTTAACCAGGCTTCTGTGTAAAACTGCTGTGCATCCATCCCATCAGATACAGTGGTAGGATTTCTAAGGGACAAGCTCTTGGCAGAATGTTGCCAATGCAAAGAGTATTTCCTGGGATCACATCTCATATTCATGTTGAGAACTGCGATCGCTCAGATCCTACTAGCAATCTTGAAAGGGGGAAACAGAGAAGAAAGTGAAACGGAAGTGTAAAAAGTTCTGAATAAATACATCTCAGCATTCAAATGCTGTTGTTGTTCTCACGTGGATGGTCTCTCTCAATGAAAGAAGGAAAATGTACTTTACAAATAGAATGAAGTGTACACAGCAGGCACGACAATAGATTGCTGATGCAGTATTTTGAGCCTTACTTATTATTGTAAGGCCCAGCATCAACACCTCTGCCAGGTACCAGTGAGGTACTGATTTTTAAGTATTAGTAGTTGTGAATATTGTACCTTAGGCTAGCTTACAAACTTTACTGCATTTTGGAAAACAAAGTTACTGAAAGGAAGATTACTTCAGTTTTTGAAGGCATCTTAAACTGAGAAAAATTAGAGGGAAATTTACAAGAACATTCCAGAAGACAAAGATACTGTTTAGTGTTGTCATACCACGACTGATGCCTCTATAGATTGGCAAGAGGGACTCCAAAATAGAACATGAGATTTTGTTTGAATGGGTATTTGTGGGGGAAAAAAAAAAAAAAAAAAACAACCAGGAAGTTAGCAATGACTCACAATAAGCTTTGTGAATGAGTCAGTCAAGAAACTTGGAGATCAGCTTACCCCCTCATGTGGCAGAAAAGGTGCATTGCTGCAAGCTTCTTGCCAGAACTTGGACTTTCTGCAGTGACCCTACAAATCATCTTCATCCCTTAGGTGTAGATTCTGCACTTTACGTGGAGGTTTTTAGTTATTCAACATCCTTGCATTACACACTGAAGAGAGGGATGTTTAGAAGGTAGAAATAATACACGCATTGTACCACCAACACAACACTGAAATCTAACATTAAAACCAAAATTCAGCATTAACCATGTCAAGTGCTACCCGTAAATTGGTATTTCACATGAAGACTAATGAATCAATTTGGTTGATATTATCAGTTGGTCTTCCTTATTCACATCGTTCTGAACAAATATACCAAAAGAAGTCACCATATTAAGATTTACTTCGCTAATAAACGCAGGCTCATTTTCGAGCTTGGAACTGCAGCAATCCAACATCAGCAACTTCACAGAAGAGCTGCTCCATTAACAGAGAAAGGGACAATATTCAAATAAGCATTTTAAAGTTCCCCCCTTGTGTTTCATTTCTGTATATAACCACTAGAGACTTGCACTTCACTAATTCATTAGTGAATTCCATCATGTTGGCTACAGGGACATAAAGGACTGTAGAACTACTCAACCCTCTAAAAGATTTGCCAGCATATCTAAAACTCTACTTTGAGGCACAAATGTGAAAGGACAATTATTAATTCCCTGTTACTTCAACAGCTCCACTACCTCTCTAGGTTTGTCATGTTAGAAACATGACACAACTCAACCTAAAGGGAAGATAAGCAGTGCAACAGACAGATAAGAGTCTGGGATCAGTGCAGGTATTAGATCAGTTTATTATGTTTACAGTTAAAGCAAATCACACATCTTAAACCAAGAACTGCTTGGAAATACCTCAGTCTTTTTTTCAATCCCCTGACTTATGGAAGCAAATGCTTGGGTAGTAAGTGCTAGTAACCAGAGCCAGATGCTTCTTTTCTTAATTGTGCAATAAGCAATAATACATTATTGATTTAGACATGCATTATATGCTATTGGAATTCCTTTAGCTTGTAACTGTGAACAAGTCTGATCAAAACAACAGAGGTTTAAGCCTCTATATTTTTTTTCTTAACTGTAGAAAAGTATAACCATAGAAGAAACTATTTGACATTTTATCAGATGTGACAAATACCACCAGTAAATTAGATGTAGACTTCTTATTACAAATAGGAATATAGTAATGCAGTATGAAAAAAATTACAGAAAAATTTGTATACTACACATTTCAATTCACAAACTGTGCAAAAATGTTATCGCAAAAATACATACTCTACTTCACATCAACTCCCTATTCCTTTCCACTGTAAAGAAAAAATCTTCATCAAAAAAGCAATTAATAACAAATAGTAAACAGTCTCACAATCCCTCCCAAACCAAAAGTCTCAGCATCTCCTTCAGCAATACATAACTCTAGAAATCAGGGCTTACAGCACAGCTCTATACAAGAAAGGCAAGACAAGACTCCTGAAAGTCATTTCAGCCTCTAACAGGCAATTTTCTGAAATGCTCTAAACCCTTGACTTCAGAAAGTGATTAAAGACAATTGCATTCCATTGATCCTTCTTTTCCACTAGCCACATTCCTGAGATTCTTATCTCTTAATAAAAAGAGCCCAGAGCAGCATTCAGATGTCAACCTTTGTAATCAAAGATAGGAACTCTCAAACTCAGAAGTGCTTTGTCATTCTTCCAAGCAATCAATCTACTTTTAAATTCGTTAACTTCAATGCAATCTCTTCTCCATCCACTTAATGCATGAGATAGAAAAACAACATACTGTACAATGCTGTCTCTATAGTTTAGCTAATCTGATAAAGTGACTTAAAGTGCAACTGAAGATCTGAAAGCGTTTTTTGTTGTTGCAGAAACTCATTTACAACATTTTAATACACTGTCAGGAGTTTAAACTAGATTATATTTCAATAACCTGGGCTGGTGTTTTTTATGTACAAACTTTTACATATGTAACAAGAATGTTTTGAGAAACAGCTGCATAAAATTTCATGACAAATAAAAGTCTTAATGAACTCCAAGTTATATCCAGCTTCCCATAAAGTTAGCTTTACCCGAGGAGAAAAATTTCTCTTCTATTATTCTGACTACAGCAGAAAGACTTAAAGACAGACATGAGAAAGAAGTTCAATTTGAATGAAACATTTAAACTGGAGCTCCGAGAAGCTCAAGTTGACTGAAGTATGAAGCACCTATAAACCAGACCTATTTTCAGTGTCAAGTACACTTAATCTATTTTCTATTTTAATATGTCATTAACATTCTTGAATATCTTACTGTTACTCTACTAGAGGTAAAAAAAAAAAAAAAAAAAATCAAATATGAAAATAATTTTTCACATTTTGTTTTAAAAAAATCTTTATTTGCATAGAAAGTAACGCCCTGATTTTACCTGCCTACCCACAGATGAAGAGTGTTTACCATGTTGGCATCATATCAGGAAACCACATTCTTCCAAGGTGTTTGGAGACTTCCAAATGAAGTCGATCTAAGCTATAATCATTATCTGGAATCAGTACCTCCTCCATTATAGAGAGCTGTGTCAGCCTGCCTCCACACATCTTAACAAATTCGATAAAACCCCTGCAAGTTACTTCACATTCCCCAAGTCCCATTGCTGTTAAGTTCTTACAGCGCTGAGCAATCTGAATAAGTTCATCATCCAAAGGTTGAAGTCCATTAGCACACACAACCAACTCAATTAACCTCGGGCAATTCAGGCCAATACGACCTAGCATTGCTTTGCTTACTGCACGACCAAAGTAAAGGTGCGTAACAGGGGTTTCCTCTCTGAAGAAAGCATCAAATTCTTCTTCATATAGGAAAAAATACATCACAATGTTGACTTTGGGGGAGTGTTTAACAAAAGCATCCCAGCTTTGCTTTTTAATGGTGTGAAATTCAACCTGTCCAGGATTTTCACTCACAACGTCTATGCGAAGGTGCTCAAGGTCCACGTGTTTTTCACTTGAAAGAGCCAGCAACAGCTCATCACTCAGTATGTAGTAGTTCAGAGCCAGCTCCTTAAGTCCATGACACTGGTCAGCAACGCAAAGAACTCCTGAGAAACAAAAGAAACTGATCTGTAAAATGACAAGTGAACATAAGCACAGCAGTGTGCTGCAATGCTCAAACAAATACTATGTCTACTGACTTGAATGCTCATGCCTGTAACAAAAAAAAAAAAAAAAAACAACAAAAAACCAAAGTATGATAGAAGTTCAGAGTATACTTTCATGGGGTTTTGGCCACAAATAGTTATTAGCAAGGTCTGGTAAGATCCAGCTGAACTTGCCACTGTTCTCTTTCCCAGAGCTCATTCCTTCAGCACTTATCTGAGAGCTCTTTTTAAGTGAACATCAGCAGCCAAGTTGAACTTGAAAGCTAAAACCTCCCTGAGCTAAGACAAATAACACACTGCTCTTGATCTGTTGGAACAGGGTTCACAGATTAAATTGCCTTTTGTGGATGAATACAGGAGAAAGACTAAACCAGCTTTCCCTTTACCTTGCTCCAGGGTTTCAGGAGAAAGGTAACTGAAGGTCCTTTGAGCTTCCCATCTAGAGCCTTTCAATGGAATCAGCCATTTGCCAAACAATATTTAAATGAGCAAGTTCATGCTGCTACATCTGGGCACAGGAGGACACTATAGAAATCAAAAGACTCTTGCTCTTTTACTATTAGTTTTAAAATTCATTTACTCCTTCTGTTTTTATTAATAAAACTTTGAAGCATTAATTTTTTTTTGCTCAGTAAGTTGAACTCACAGCATTTTGCAAAACAGTTATTCATAGTTGCTTTCACATCCCTCAGCCCATCAATTAGTAATAAATTCATCCGGGATTTTGCACATACAATCCCACAAAATATCAGTTTAATTTACAAGGTTGCACACTTACATAAACTGTCTAAATACAATACATGAATAATTGTTTCAAAAGTAGGTCTCAACTATTGTTTTATGTTGCTTTTTTACTGTATTTTTCATGCATATTCACTACTCACCAGCAGGTGATACATGAGGACAACTGCTCATTTTAAGCAGTTTTAAAGTATCACTGTTGTTAGCAACAAGAACCTTCAAAGAAGGATCATCAAGTGGTGTGTCATCTATCTTGATTGATGATAATGACTTGGAGTTTACAAAAACTACTGTCAGTGCTGAAGCAAAATGAGCCTGTTTGAATGAATTGAAAGAGGAAAAAAAAAGTTTTATGAAAGACAGGAGGAGCTTCATCAAAACTTTAGGTTTTGCAAGCATAAAAACTTCAAAAATAATTACTTCTTAGGTATCCCCTTTATTGTGTAAAGAATATATGCTTATCATTGTTTAGATTAATTTTTCTTGAAATATGGTTTCTAAGTTATATTTTATTAAAAAAAAAAAAAGTACCTTAGAGACATTCATGAAGCTTGGTTTTGCTGTAGAAATCAAACCCAGTGTCTTGATAGAACAGTTTACCAACTGAGAAAGGATGTTACAGGCTGCTTCTGCTGACTCAGTACTACTATCAACCTGCACAAGCAATTTAAAAATCATTAAGTTATTCTTTACTACATTTCAGAAAATAGCATCACTGATGGCCAATACTGCAAGGTCCACAATCACTCAAGCTGCACCACACCAGGCTTCATTTACCACAAAAACAGGAAAGGAACAATAATTGGAAATTTCAAGACAAGAAAGAGTTTAGGAAGGTCAGTAGTAAAAAATATTTCCAAGTATTGACAGTTCTTTCTAATATGAACAGACCCCACAGATCTAGGCTGTCTTTTCAGATAAGCTCAAGCCTATCCAAATAACTACAAGTAGCGCCAGTCTGATCAACAATGGTACAGATGTACTTTAAGTAAAATATCCAGACTTTTAGAGCAGAAACAGAGTTAAGATCTAGACATCCTCAGCAAACTAAACCATTTTGCCTGCATGGGGAAAGCTTTGCATCTCAAATAATGAACTGATTCCTCATTCAGCTGTAAGATCAATGATCAACTTTGGACAAATCACCATTTCATCTTGCGTTCCTCCTTTTTAATAGCCAAGATGACAGACAGTTCCAATACCTGAAGAAGTGAGGCATAATTAAGTGCCTGGAAAAGGGCACAAGCTGCAGAAACAGATACTAGATTGCCAGTTCACTATCATCTGCTACCTGGTATGCAAAAGTAAGAGGTATTTAATAACTCATCATCCACGGATCTCCAAATATCAAACTCCTAACACTGCTGACAAAAAGCAGCTTTGGATTTGTATCCAAGTTTTAGCATCAGATTTCTTCTACTTTTCCTTCATAGATATGACTACCTCCTCTTAACAAGTGACTATAAACTGTTAACAAAGCAAATTCAATTTCAACAATGATCTTCTCAGATCAATTATTAGTAAACCCACACCAACTAATCAAATAAGATCAAGTTTATGCAGTCCTGAGACTACTAATATAACCTTCCTTTAAATCAAGGTTACTGTTACTTCATTACATCCTTACTTCTCGAGCACCTGAATATACATGGAGAACATCTTCCCCCCTGTTCACATGAATTGTAAAATCTCAAGTTGTTCTTCACAGTACAGACAGTTTTGCAAAATTACACACATAAGACTTCAGTTCACTTCCTCCAATTCATCAATGTGTAAGAAATGTTTATCCACACAACAATCTGCTGAGATCTCAGACTGCCACCAACACTGGAGCAGAGAAACTCTGCAGCATATTCTGAAAAACGTAATTTAACCTTCAGTGCAGTATCACATAACGTTAGCTCTTCCTTTACTTTGCAGGGATTAAAGTGTAGAAATCAGAAAGAAACAATGAGTATGTGTGAAAAACAAGTTGTTCCAGTAACTGTCTTTTTAAATATAACACTTCACAGGGATAACACTTGAGACCACCAACACATACGATTTAATTTTCTGTAGGCAGAGAAGCTGCATACATCAGGCAGAGCAATGTGACAAAAAAGCCTCCATCCACCCCAGACTTTACCTTGAAGCTGACATACTGCAGATGATCAGCGTGCCTCTTGATAATCTGCTGAATTAGATCAGGATGAGTAGACTTCAAGTAAGAAGTAGCCGGCTGGCTGAGTTCAAATTCAAATCTCCTCCAGAGATCTGGGATGTGAAAAACTTCGTTCCACCTTCGGCAGACGGACGATGCCCTGGCTCGATCTACCAACGGCAGGAACTGGAAAATGCGCAGAATAACGTGGTGCGGAAGGCTTCCCCAGTCTATCGAGGCATGGGGGTCAGACTCACTAAAGGCTGACCCATATAAGCAAGTTTTCTGTTTTTTGTTTCCCTGTGATGTTTGAGGAACTGCATTTTCATCTGTAACTTTCTGCCTAGCTCTCTTCATCATGAAAGTTTCAGGCACTGGACCAACCCAATGTATTCAAATTGTGCAAGAGTCTTGAAAGTCCTCACGTGCAGTAGATCTCTAGAAAAATAAAGAAATTAGGGAAGAAAGGCAATAAAGACAGGGAAAACACAGTAAGAGATAAATAAACCATGTTACTAACCTGCCATTTTTGCTAGTAAAAACTTGTGTCCATGTGTTATTGTCTAGCATATAGACACAAGCAAGGACCTTGCTTCTCAACACCATTTGTTTGCACAAATTATAATACTTGATTTTGGTACAAACAAGTTAAAAAAGTTTCCTAATTTACCAGGTGCAGTTTAACCTGTTACTACTTGAGAGTGTATCGATCATTTTGTGGAAAAGTAGTATTTAAGAGCAATATACTTTAGTAAGAGCAAATTAGATACCTTTAAGCAAATCTCAGACTACAAGAATTCTAACATCTACAGAAGCCAATTCCCAAGAACTTCCTACAAGCAACAACAAACATTAACATGTGTGCCTCCAGAAGAATCCAAATCAATACTTTTGCTCATCTCCTTCACAGACCTTTTAAAAGACAAAAAACAAAAACAGCTGCCAAACACAGAAAAGCCTGCACAACTAACAGCAACAACATACTCTACAGGCCTGTCAGCAAAACAAGAGCAAGAAGTAAGATTCTCATGCTGGCGTTTTTTTGGCACAGAAGACAGTGATCTCACAACACAGCAAAGTACAGTACTCCACCAAACAACTTTGTCATCTCAACCAGGGATTAAAGAAGGGCAGGAAGAGTTTTGATTTCATATTCTGGCACAGGGCAGCCTACCTAAATCCATTCAACACTGAATTCTATTCTGCAGGTAATCCTCAACAGTTTTAACTGTTTCAAGAACTGCTTTGTTTTACAGTGGGCTGAGGACCCTTCCCAAAGGCTCTGCTAATTACACATTCAGCCTGATCTCCTATCTGCAATCAGCCTGAAGGGAAATTTTGCATTACTTTACCATGTATTCCTCACAAATCAACAGAACACATCTATTTTTGGTTGAACTGTCTTTCCATGACAACCCTCACAGGATGCTTTTTCTGGGATTCAACTCTACTTAATGTTATTTCTCCCCTCTTTAAGCATTAAATAAAGAAACTAAGAAATAACACTGGTTCTAATTCTTACTCCAGTTTATTCATTTTTTCTGATGCATTTCCAAAAATAAAATGCAGCAATAAGAATAAAGATCTGGTAAATTTCAAATATTCACAGACAAATTTAGTCTGATGTTCACATTTTCTTTTATTCTACCCCTTGTCTTGAGTTCTTTGGTTTATCATGATTCTCAGGCAGCTGTAAAGCCCACTGACTTACACACTTTTTTGCTCCTAAAGGCCACACATCACAGCACGAGTGAGGCCTTTGGAGATCACTGCTCCATGCACACAGAAAATATCCATCTTGTAACACCACACTAACCCTGTAAACACCACACTAACCCTTGACCTCTGCCCAATGCAAGCCTCTTCTCTGCTCTCTCTGACAGGATATTAAAAAAATCACATATCTGCATTATCTTGCACTTAAGAAGAGTATAAGTGTTTGCTCTCAGCTCTTAAAAGAGAGCAACTCAATCACAGTTCTGACTTCAGTATATTAAATACCCAAAATGTTGGACTAAGTTAGAAGCACAGCATGTATTTGACATTTAGGGTGAAACTTTTCCTTAGTATCTCATGATGGAAAAAAAAACAAAACAACCCAGGAACACTCATCAAAAGCCAGACCACCCTGTCGAAAATGCTGATATTTTCCACAGCTCACACATCCTATCTGCAGGCTGTTGAGGTGACTGACATACAACTATAACAATCCACTCTTATGAAAAAGAAAGCACACGCCTCCTTTGAGAAGAGAGGAAGGAGAGCCTACACAACTCAGAGCTGTTTGCATGACCAGCTTCTCTAATGCTTGACATAACAAACTCTCTCAACCACCAAGGAACTTATTCCAGCAGAAATTTTCACCTCAGTCTCTTTAAGGCTACATTTATGATAGAAACAAGTAATACCCACAGAGAAATAAGTATTAACACTGCATTATATTTAATAACTAGATCTGTTCTTCCCTGAATGGACACGTGCCTTACGTAACAACTGGGGAAAGCCTGCAACTCAGAGAAAATGGTGAGTGGTACACATACATTTCAACATACCCTGCTTCAAAACAAAGCAGTATTTCTACATTAGTATTACTTATGTAATGAAGATGAAAGCTCAGCATGAATAAACACTTTGCCACTACCATTATCATCCACATAATTCAAACTGTCATCTACGTGACAACGTTTTATGACTTTTGAGTTAAGTCACACAATGAACAGGCATTCCGAAGTATTACAGGTGGATGTAGTAATCAACAGTTGCATAATACACACTCTCTCTTTCAGTTACTGGTAGCTGAGCTAAGTTTAGTTTGAGTCAATTACCATCTAATTTTTTTCCCTCCTCTCTCCTTTGAAGGTGCTGAAGAAACCAGCTATTTTCTAAAACTGAGGTCAAGACAAAAAAAATTAGAGAAGCTAAAAAAATTAGAGAAGCATTTCTATGCTTCTGCTATTCTCATGCCTATCTATAGCATCTCAGTAGAATGTTAAGTCCTGAAAACAAGAAATTAGGGTTCACTTTCTTTTTAAACTTTCTTGAGCTTCAGAAGGTGCAGCTTTAGCTCCCACAAAGAGGTCCTGACATAGAAAAAAAACACCAGAAAAGCCACCATCCCCCCACCCCAAAGGCCAGGCTATGCATGAGATTCAGTACATCCAAAGACCAAAACGATGTGACAAGGCACAAATGGTACATATAATATATACACTCTCAGTGACAGAGAGTGGCCACAATTTGTCCTTGTTGCTACATACCTTTAACACTGATAATTCTGCAAGTTTTACCTTTAGTACTGCAGTACATTTTAATGCAGCAAAATTACACTGTCCTACTTTGCAAGATCAGCAAAAAGTTCCACCAGTTATCTACAACAAAGCTTTCACCACACGTGAAGCCCTAATATTCACTATGAAGGTGTAAATGCCTATTTTGTTTCGAGTACCTGAATGAGGAAAAGTAGGTAAGATGATGATTGTTTCTATTTCAGAACTTAATTGAAGTAAATAATAGTTCCACGTGACATAACCAGGGTAGTAGTCAATGAAACATTTACATGCACACATACCTCCAAAGAATGTGGAAGTTCCTGTCAAGTTACCAGCACCTTTTTGGTATCTGAACATCCATCCCACTGTTGAGTCATCCTGTATGTGTGCAAGGATTCCTTAACCAGAAGGCAGGGATGGGTCCCAAAAGATGAACTGACCTGCGAAGCCATTGACCAAAAAAACAAAACTGTTCTGCAAAGTTTGGGAGACCCAAGGGAAGGACTAAGGTCAGTTTTGGAACCAATTCTGAGAGGAATAGTACACTGTGCTGTAAGGCAGATATGGCAGCAGAACAACAAAAGTGGAAAGGAAATTAGTTCTACCAAATGTCATCTGACAACTATCATCTAACTAATGGAAAGGTGCACGTGTTAGCATAAATCTAGATTTAGCATCACCTACAGTTTTATCCACATCAGTGTTCTTATGCAGCAAGAAAACACTTCTGAATTCTTGATTTGTATATATGTGTGCGTATATATATATATATATGCATATATATATATTTTTTTTTAGGAAGTTATGCACCTTGATAATAAGTACTGTTGTCTTTTTTTCTGCTCTCTGTGTACAATAATTAAAGATACAACCCCTAATATTGTAAGATGTAAGTACTATTAGTTTAAAATGCTATTCAGTTGTACCATAAAAGTGTACTTAGTGCACCACTATAAACATGTCAGTAAAACTACTTTGGCTAATTAAACTCTATGTGAAGCAAAAGACACTGATGTATGAATGGATATGCTCCCATCTGCTAATATATGAATAATAGCATGAAGGAGTATCTTGGTCTGCTGTAAGGTATACCTGAGACCTCCAAAATCAGTTACCCATGGGACAGTATTTGAAGAAGTTTCAATGGAAAGTTATAGGAACAGCTACACCCACCTGGCTAAACTACAATAAGTTCAAAATGAAAACACAGATTTAAAATCTGAAAGGCATTACAACATTAGGATGCTTTCAGAGTTGTCTCTTCAACTAAAAATAAGATTTCTAGTAGATTTTTATTGCTAAACTTTCTAATAATTGTTTTTAAAAACCAGGGACATCAGGCTTTAGATTGTCCCGAGTCCTAAGTCATAACATCATCTTTTAAAAACTACACAGTTAGTATCAGCCTTATAATTTAACACAGACACAGCACATGTTTTAGATACAAACACAACAGAGCAGCAGCCCCTTATCTCTTAAGCAAAACCAAACTCAAACGCTAAATGCCTTGCAAATAATGTTGCTCAGCTCGCTCACAGAAGAAAATTCAAGGCCTGTACAATCATGTTTGTAATTAGAGTTGATTTGCATTTGCAGAAGCGTCTGCAGATGGCACACCTGGAGAATTTTGTAATTTATGGTGGCCTTGTGTTGCACATAGGATTTACAGGTATTGCATGTACCCTGCTCACCACGGGCCTCCTAACTCCGCATGGCACATACAGATCACATTCACTTGCAGAAGTGCTTTCAGTGGCTAACACAAAAGGCAGATTCATAATGACGTGTGTGAACAGAACACAAATGACAGCAGAGAGAACAAAACACTGAATGCAGTTTAAAGATTTTAGGCAGAAGTTAATTAAGGGTAAGTTTATAAACCACACAGAGTACTTCGAAGCAGCTTTCTTACCTGAAGAATGCTTCCAAGTGACAACAGGCAAGAAATGAATGAACTGATGTAGCTGCAGCCATGGGGCACTCAGAACCATCTGTCTGCTTTCCTCTCCTGTCCAGATAAAATGCCAAAAATGAAAATCTTTAGTAATTAAAACAAAAACCTACTAATACATCCCATACAAAAGTAATAGGAATTGGATTTTGATTTAAACATTTTCTTGCTAACAAGAATGGTCTCTGAGGAATCATCTTGACACAAAGTAACTTGTCTCACATTGCAAATACTGTTACTGATAGAACTGTGAGGTCAGGTCAAGCCCGAAATTGATGTGAAACAAGTGTTGCAACTGCATTTACATTGTACACTGTCAATAGTACAGTGTAAACAGCATGCTTTCAATATTTGCATTATAGTTACTATTAATTGTGAAGTCTGTTAAACAACACTGCCTGTAACTGTTACCATAATCTAAGAGTTGTGGAAAATAGAGAATTAAAAAAAAAAAAGCACACAAAAAATACTTTTTCTGCCTTTCTCTATTTCTTGGCAAGGCTATCAGCCCAGGGATCTATATGACAGATGACCTAAATGCAAGCATTCACTTCTACCACATGGCACAGCTTCCTACCATCAACCATGCCAGCAGCATGAAGTCACCACCCAGTCCAGCCCTTGGCACACAGTCACACAGCAAGGAGCAGGCCATGAACTGCAGTCCATCATTAACAAATCTCTCAGCCTGCTGCCTCCTCCTCCCTGTTTAAAAGTTCCCAGGGAGCAGTGACAGCCTGCCCAAGCTAGCAGGTCTACCATCACCTACCATATCAGGGCATTTATTTTAACAGCCCCTTATATCCCTTCAAGCTGCTTGCTTTTAATACATCAAGGAGAAGTATTCAGAGAAGTTTGTGTTCCACTGTCTTTCATCATAAACAGTCACTAAGCTTTACACCCAAGCACATCGCTGAACTGCTTTTTATAAAAGCACTCTCAAAACTGAGCCCTTCTCATGCAAATACTTTGATCTTCATCAGAAAAAAAAAAATAATAACCTACCCCTCTATTCTATCTCTGGATTTCAGTATTTGGCATACCACAAAGATTTAAAACTTTCTACTTTTAACAGCTGAGTACTTCCTACTAATTACAGACCGTAATTAAGTGCTCATGAAGCAAGCTCCTCTTTAACAGAGCTGCTCGAGAGCTACCCAAATTATTATCAAAGATAAACAGCAGCAGCAGAGTTGAAATACTCAATAAACTGATGGGGTTCAGCAAGTCTAGTCACACCCTCATTCGAGTAGAGGAAAATATCAAATACAGGTGCACTAGTTCACACAGCTGTTTTCCACTATAAACACGTTTGACTTCGATGTATTGCTGTTGAAGTCTGCTGCACGTTATCCTACCAAAACAAACCCAAATCCACATTATCAGCAGGGATCCTGGAAAGTTCAAGGTCAATAGCTGTTTTTTCAGCTTATCCTGGTAACAGAACCACAAACTTCTGCTAAAATTCAGACTTGCAAAAGTCTCCCACGATAAGGGATTCCAAGCAGGGGACTCCAAGAAGTGGCAAGCAGTGGCTTAGTTAAGCTAGCAGCTGTTCACTGTTTCCCATGCTCAAACTTCAGTTGCAAAAAAATAAAAATAATAAAAAAGAACCCACATCACACGTTCAGGCCACATAACTGCTTTCTCAATTTAAATTCCACCTGCAGTTTTTAACGCCAAGGCTCAATTGTAATTGAAAAAATAAAATAGCATAAAATTGATTTTCAATAGAGATACTAAAAAAAAAATTGGATGCCAGTTTACAGATCTGCCCTTACCAGCTGAAATACCTGCCATGTTAATCAAATAGCCTTCAGGAAATCACGTTTTGATAGCAATGTGATCATTCTCAGAACATTAGAACCTGCCTGGGAAACAAGAACAGGTACTGCATGCAGGCAGTGCCACAGAGCTGCTGAGATGGGTGACACAGCAGAGGGCTGAACTGCTGAGTTCTGGCAGAGCACAAAGAGATCAGAAACGTATTTCAAGCCTAAAACTCAGAAGATCCACCCACCGAATGCAGTGAGGTCCGAGATTAAGCTTTTCCTTCATTTAGGACACAGCAGCCTTTTTACGGGTGGGCGTGGGGAACATTTCTGCTTCTGGGCAGGATTGTTTTCAATCAATCCTCATCTTTCTCAACCTCAGCTGTCTCCTCAGGGATTTACCACTTAAAAATACGCTTACGACAAAGCCTTGGAGACCTAAAAACAACAGCGTTCAGTTGCATTCGAGCGTTCGCATTAGCTCTAACTGCAGAAATACAGCTGTAATGCCACTTGAGCGTTATCTAGGCGGCGAAGCCTAGCTGTGCGAGCTCGACTGCTGCACCGCTTTAAAAATAAAGCAGCTCTCACCTCAACACCCCCCTTCCCAACTGCGAACAACCCCCAAGACGTCCTTTCTTTTCCTCAGCGACACACCCAGAACCCCACAGCTCCTCACAAGAGCTCTCTCCGGCAGCCTGGCAGCTCCCGTCAGGCTGAGCCGACAGCTCCGGGCAGGCAGAGGCCCGAGCCCCGCCGCCAGAGCCAACAGCCGCCCGGCGCCGACGGTCCCCAGCAGGCCCGGCTGGGTACCGCTCCCCAAGCCCGCTTCCTTCCCCTCCCTCCAGGTCGGGATCCCCACGGCCCCCTTCCCCGCCCCGCAGCTCACCGCCTCCTCGCGCGGCTCCTCGCACGGGCAGGGTCGCAGAGAAGCTCGCAGCCAGCCCAGCGACCTGCCCACGCCGCCGGCCGAGAAGCGGAGAGAGGGGAGGGGCCGACGCGCGCCCAGCCCCGGCACGGCGCGCAGTGCGCAAGCGCGCCTCACCCCGCCAAACTAGCGGCACGTGACGCGGCGACGCCATTTCGCGCCCGGCGAGCCTCGCCTCGCTGCTAAAATGGGAGGGCGGGAGGCGGTGGGTGCACAGGTGGCTTTGCTTGTGTGCCAGCTGTTCTGTGTGCTCCCCCATTTCCCACCTACAAGCAGTAAGAGTGTTTCTTTCTCCCAGCTGGGTGGAGACGGAGATCCCTCCATAAGGAAAGATGTGTCTCCCAGAACTGACAGCGTGGCCGCCTTGCTTGAGGTCTTGGATTTCTGCTTGCAAAAGCTCCCCTTTATTTCAAGACCTAAGGTGTAATGAGCAGCAGATTTTATTTGTATGGATGTGCAGCATCACGTTAATCAGCATTTCTTTGTGATCGTAGGAGCATCTGAGTTATCGGATATTTGTTAATACAAAACGCACACAGCAGATCTCCTGGCTCTTGCACAGAGCAATGAGTAACAACAAAACCTCTATAGCATCGTAGAAAGAGATAACAATAAATGTGCTCAAGGTGTTTCGGTGGTAGATTTTTATCTCCCTCTGTAATAGCAAAGCTGTGAAAATGCAACTGTTGGTGTGATGCTCAAGTAAGGCTTCTTCAAACCAATCTGGGAAACAGAAACAGAGCCGGTTTCAGGGCTAGCGAAACAAACAGAGGGAAAATTCATCATGCAGAGATTTTGACACCTTCAGAGTACAGAGTAAATTCCTCAAAGAGAATGGCAAAACCTGCTGCATGTTTAAAAAAATCTGCTGAGTTTAGAAAACCTACCAGAAATGGTCCAACCTGTATGGCTGTTGGCAGCTGCATTCGCACTTGAGAGCAGGAGGCTGAGTCTCCTGGATAATTGTTCAAGTCTTTTGTTCCTGATGTATAAACTGATACAAAGTCCTGCTACCAAAAAGCACAGTTAGCTCTAGAATTACTATCTGCAGATAGTAGTAGAGGATGGATTGTAAACAGAGATTAATGGGGATTTGTAGCTTGTGTCTAAATCTGCCAGTCATGGGTTTCTTGGTGCACCGCCAATAACCTTTGGGCTGCTGCATGGAAACAGGTTCAAACATACTTAAAGACTGATATTGGCAGAACTTTGAGACTGTGTACATGAGTTTCCTCTTCTGATCTGATCCAACTTAAAATGAAAACAAAAGGAGGGGAGGAGTAATATAGAAACATATGCATTTTATTACATGTAATTGCAATAAAATGCTTGCAGAGAAGAATATATATGAGAAGAAAAAAAAAAAACACCACACCAGTTCTGAATTTGTTGGAATTGCAAAAAGTGGGCACACACCAGCAGCTTCTTCCTTCTGTTTATCTTCCAGGTATAAAGCAGTGCTCTGCACTGAGCTGCTGCATGTGTCTCCAGGTATTTCATCTCATGCATAAGAGGCAGGGAAGGACATATGCCCTCCTTCTCTGACCCTATGACTGAGTTGCTCACGTCATCCAAAGTGGGGCTTAGCCTTCATCCTGCGGTTGTGTCTCCTGGAGGCAGATCTGCAGAAAGATATTCTGCCTCGTCTCAAGCTTATGATGGTAATGGGAATAGTCACCACAGTATTTCACGCAGGTTTTGTAACATACTCTTTGTGTACTTTAATCAGCAGTAATATTGCCATAACCGAAGGGTGCTTGTTGTTGCATATGCTCGCCTTTTTGAACTCTCGAAAGATCACATTAGAGGGAAAAGGCCAACAGTGCGGGGCTTTGGATGAGGATTCACGAGAACATCCTGCAGTACTAAGTAGATTCTTTTGTAGCTGCTCAGACAAATAAGTACACTTTGTTGCTCTTGGTTTGACGACTTGACTTCAGGAAGACTCATGTACTGGAAACAGCTACTTCACGGCCCTTCTCCGTTCAAAACCCAAATACTCAAACTTCGTACAATCAAACATTGCGGTTCTAATGATTTAAAACTGAACTGAGCAGGGTGAAGTAGCAACTGGCAATCATACTCAAAAAGTAGGTTAGTATGTCATGCTTGCTGTGAGGCTTGTGAGCTCCTCCTGGACACCAGCTGCTTCACAGGCAGGCAGTGAGAGACACACTGCCTCAGGATCAGAAATTACCCAAGCTCTGTAAATGTTTCCACATTGAATCTGAAATAAAAACAAAAGCAATTGCTTATTTACATAAATGAACACAAATCATTAATAGAAGTAACTCCAGCTGTGTTATAATTCTATCATTTTATGCTCTGAGCATTTGAAGTACATATATTCTTTTATTTTTTAATACGTATACTGCCTAGACCTGTCTTTCAGAGAAAGCTGATAATAGGTATAAAAGTATCCACTAAACTGCAAACAGGGCACCAGAAATCTATCAATAGAGAAATATGGGTCTGGCAAAGAGCACAGTCAGGACCCTGAGCTTCAGCAGAGCAAAGTTCCAGCTGTTTAAGGAATTATTGGATGAGATCCTCTGGGAAACTGTTCTTAGGGACAAAGGAATGGAACAGAGCTGGCAGCTCTTTAAGGACACCTTTCTGAGAGTATCCATTCCCCAGCATAAGAAATCAGACGGAGAAAGCAGGAATCCAGCATGGCTGAACAAGGTCACAGTGAGGGATAAGAAGGAAATGTACAGACAGTGGAGGAAGAGATGCATGGCCCGAGAAGAGTGCAGGGCTACCATCTGAATGTACAGAGATGGGAGAGGGAAAGCCAAGGCACGGGTGGAACCATAAGTCATGAGGAATGTGAAAAATATTAAGAAGAGATTCCTCTGCCAGGAAGAAAAACTATAATAAAGATAAAACGCAGAAAGAGTTTTCACCAATTTCCTCCACCCTCCTCAGATTTTGTCTTTCAGGCCTAGGGTTCAGGTGTGGATAAAATAACCTTTACCTTCATCAGCTTTATCTTTCCTTTTGATTCATATTTGTGGTAATGTTTTTCAGAGTAATGTTTCTATTAATTCTTTTTTCTATTCTATACAAATGCAGTAAACACTGGAAAATGTTAGATCAGTGGCCACTAAACAACAGCAACAACAAAAAAAACCCTACAGAACTGGCATAGTCTCTGTAATTTAAACTGCTTCTTTGCCCTGCAGAGATTTTTAAGCATACCTTGTAGGGATTTTTTCTCTGTTAGTCCTGGGTTTGGGTGTCTTTTTTGAACTTCCAGGGATGCTATAGCATCCCTTGGTCACAAGAGGGAAGTCGTGTATTATCTGCAGAATTCATTTTTTAACAATGAAATTTCTGCAGCCTAATAAAGCCTAAATGTGTGAGGATATGTATGTGTGTGAGACTTGTAAGTGTGCTTATTAATCTATCCACATATTTACATACACACATCTTTCAGTTACCAAATAAGAGAAATCACTGATAGAAATAAATAACAACAATCATAGCTTGCAGCAAATACCCTTACATTGGCCTAAAAATATCTTTTTTACACTCCTGAGTGCTCACATTCACGATTAGTCTCAAAGCTAATATTACCTGTTGCTATCAGCACTCACCCACATCATACCCCTGCCAGCAGGGCCTGGCCAGCAAGGAGTCTTTTGCTAGCCAAAATTCGACTCTATTTGAAATTCACCCCAGAATTCGTAGCATTAAGTGTACTTGCATTTACTTTGTTATAATGAACACAACTAGTAAGCCTAACATGGCATGGCAGCTTCTTCTTGTAAACCTATCTACTGTATCTCACTCTGCTGCTAGCGAAGACCATTGCGAGATAACTGCTGGCAGTTCGGTAGCTAGATTTGGATCCAGATATGTTGATGTTTAATTTGTAGCTTTCAGGGAAATACGTTTCCTTGGAATCAACAGCAAACATCCTGTAAAAGTAAACTGCCATGTCTGGCCCAAGGGTATGCCAGGTCCCTTGCACTGTTTCGTCAAACTCTGTCGACCAGCACACATTCCAATAGCCCTTCAGTTCATCCCAGGTCTGTGAACCAGTGCAAACTCGCTTTACTGTGCCAACAGGTGCTATGTGACACAGTAATTTATAGTTCATAGAATCATAGGGTTTGTTTGAGTTGGAAGGGATGTTTAAAGGCCATCTAGTCCAACTCCCCTGCAATGAACAGGAACGCCTACACCTAGATCAGAGCTCTCAGAGCCTCCTCCAGCCTGACCTTGGATGTCTCCAGGAACATCCACTACCTCTCTATGCAACCCGTGCCTCATCAGAAAAATCTTTTTTCTTATAACCTATCCAAATCTTCCCTCTCTTAGTTTAAAACTATTTCCCCTCATTCTATAACAGCAGACTCTACTAAAGAATCTGCCCCCTTTCTTCTCACATACCCCCCTTTAGGGAGTGTGTTCTCAGGTCTCCCTGGAGCCTTCTCCAGGCTGAACAGACCCAGCTCTCAGCCTGTCCTCACAGGGAAGGTGTTCCATCCCTTGGGTTATTTCTGTGTCCCTCTTCTGGACATGCTCCAACAGGTCTGTATCTTTCCTGTGTTCTGCACACAGTGCTCCAGGTGAGCTCTCACCAGCACAGAGTAGAAGGCCATGCTTCTTTTTGATGCAGCCCAGGGTACAGTTGGCTTTCTGGACTGTGAGGGCACATTGCTGGCTCATGTCCAGCTTGCCATCCACTGGTACTGCTAAGTCCTTTTTTACAAGGCTATGGTCAATCCTCTTGTCCTTCAGCTTGTATTGATAGTGGAGATTGACACGACCCAGGTGCAAAACCTGGCATTTGGTTTTGTTGAACTTCATGAGGTTGGTTCTCCTGGGCCCACTGCTCAAGCACTGAACATTCCTCCCACCAAATTCACCTATTTCCAATTTAGAGAGAAGGATCTTGTGGAGGACCATGTCAATGGCCTTACTGAAGTCCAGATAGATGACATCAGTGGCTCTTCCTTTGTCCACTGATGCAATTATTCCACCAAAGAAGGCACTAGGTTGATGAGGCAGGACTTGTCATTGCTGAAGGCATGCTGCTTGTCTCATATCACCTTGCTGCCGTCCATGTGCCCTAGCA